AAAAATGTATTTCAGTATAAATACAGAAGGGATAAAACATCACTGCATCAGTCCAGAAATTACCAACAATACAGTACAATGGCAATAAATAGGAAATTCAGTTCATCTTACTCTTCTCCCAGCTTTTTAGAACCCAAAATATTTGCAAATGCTACTAACATGCCAACCCTTAAAGCCTGGGTTTCTGCTCCCATTAACTATTTCAGAGTACTGGAGTACTAGGTAGTTTCATATTTATACATTTATGGGGCTGAGTAACCTGGACAGTCCTCATTCTGGGCAGCCATTCATTTAATCATGTAAACACAATGTTGAAAGACCACCCGGAACAGGTAAAGTCAGAACAGTTCAAATGCAACACAGATGGAAACGCCACAGATTCTCCTTTGAACCACATTTTTCCTCCAGCAGACATTGGTGGCAATAGGTCAAGTTGACTGCCTGTACTGAGATCAGAATGTCCAGGATTAAATAGCTGATTTGATTTAGTGGACTTCCTCCTGTCACTCACTACTGAATAAATTAGTAAAAACATGGCAGGCACTAGTCTTATCAAGCTGTTTCCTTCTTACATAAATAGTATATATTTTAGAAACAATAGACTTTTATATGTTTCATAATTCTCACAAAAAGATGTGTGATAGTATAATTTATTACTATTTCAGGTACCTTTGAGAAATTTCTTCTCCAACCCCTGAGATTCTCTCTTACATCTCTTGCACTCTGTTGGTTATGCTTGCATATGTAGTTCCTGATCACTTACCCAGCGTTTCTATTTCCAGCATTCCCTCAGTTTGTGTTTTCTTTAATGTTGCTATTTCAGGGTTCAGGTCTTCAACTGTTTGTTTTCCTTCACCAGTTTGGTACTTTTTTTTTTCTTAGTTTTCCTTTTCTTTCTTTGCTTGCTTTCTTTAACAGATTTGTTGATTTCTTGAACTTTTTGGTTTGTGTTTTCTTCCATTTTTTTTTTTTTTTTTTTTTTTTTGTCTTTTCTTCCTTTTCCGTTTTCTCATTTCCTCTTTATGGGCCTCTATCATCTTCATAAAGTTATTTTCAGGTCATTTTCTTCTGCTTCATTTGCTTGCTGGTGCTTGTTCAGTGCTTGCTGGTGTAGAACCCCTAGTCTCTGGTAGTGTCATATTACTCTTAATGTTGTTGAATGCCTTCTTACACTGTTGTCTTCCCATCTCTTCCTCCAGTGGGTACAGGTAGGGCTCGTGATTCAGTAGATCTCTTTTCCTCCAACTGGTGTAGGTAAGGTTTGTGGCTTAAGTGGTTGATCTTCCTATCCCAGTGGGGGTGAGGACAATGCTCCAATGGTGGGAGATTCAGTGCTGAATGATTTATTGTGTGAGGAGGGTGCTATCTCTCCCAGTAGGGGCAGAGTCAAGGCTCCAGTGATGACAGATGCTGTGCTGTATGGTTTGGGAATATCCCTGGGTCTCTTGAGAAATTTCTTCTCTACACTGAAAATTCTAGTTACTTTTAAGGTACTCAGTGCTCATCAAAATGAACAACATCAACAACATAAGCAACACAACCAATATAACTTGTCTTTGTTAAAACTGGTATGATTAATTGGATCTTCTACCTAAGCCCTTTCCTTGGAGTGCACTGGCCAGGGATGATTTCACATGCATATGTTAAAGAGAAGCAGAGGGTATATCCAGCTCTTCCCATTTCCCTCTTTCATCCACTTTAGCTAGTGTGGTCTGGCCTTACTTTTTATTCTATTGGTCTCCACTTTGCCATTTCCTAGAAATGGCATAGACAAGGGAACTGTAAGAAACATAGTGATAATGTGATTCAAAGCTTATGTGTGACAACCTGAGGGCAAGGAAAAAAAGCTATAGCTAAACTCTGAACCAAAACTCCATCATTTTGCAGGTGCCAGCCAGTGCATACTCCCTGAAACTTACTTTCCTCAGACTCTATGGTATTTTTATTACCAATGTAGCTAAGATGACCCAGATACAGCTAATTTATCTGATTCTATATCACAGTTTGAAAAATCTGGGAAGAGATTACCAAAAGGACAAGACAAAACAAACAAAAAAACAAAACAATACCAAAAGAAATGAAATAGGGACAAAACGGAAAAACCAATCAACCTCAGAGAAAGCTTTGATACAAAAGAGTTGTTGAAACCAAATGTCAAACAAGTGTATGCAACTAAAGTCTAGAACTAGAAAAAAAAAAAAAAAAAAAAGCTACTCTAAGTTAGATTGATAAAGGGAAGAGAAACTTTTTTGTTTTTGAAGCAGTAATGAGGCATTTGTTGTGTTACTGTTAATGTGTTGTTATTGTTCTATTCTGAACTAGATTCACACTGTGTATCCCAGTTTGTCTTTCCTTTTTATCTGTGGACCTCAAACTTAAAGCCCTCCTGTATCCTGAGTATGTTGGGTTTAATGCATAAGCCAACAAAATTCTTACTTAAGGAAAAAAAAATCTAGCAAGATATGAAAAAGTAAATTCACTATTCATAAATATAATTTATAGCCATGACATTTTGTAAGAAATATCAGGAGTAGATACAAAAAACAGTAAATTGGAAAGTTTATGTAATTATTAAAAATACAGCTGAAAATAAGAAAACAGAAAACATTAACATAGAAGTATTGAGGAAACATAGAAGTTCCTCCAAGCAAACTTAATAGGAATTCTAGATGGGAAAAATGATAGAGAATTATTATTTTAGAGTTATAGAATTATTGGTATTTTGGAGAAAAACACATTCTAAAGTGAAGCACACATTCAGGCTCCCGAGAAGAAATGCTTGTGGGTAGGGTGTTTTCTCTGGAAGCTTCTGTGGATGATTTCATTTCCAGAGTACTGAAATGTTATGATGCAATGTGTGTATCTGTATAAATATTTAATCCTTTGCTTGAATTGCCAGTATTTCAATTCCAATTATCCATGTTCTTCAAAGCCAGATTGCCTCTCCTGCTTAGAGGGCCTCTGATCACTGCACATTCAGCTTCTTTGTCTTGGTTGTGTATTGGGCCTCTGAATTAATGCTGATTCTCCAATTTATTTTTCTATTCTTTTACCTTTGGTCTCTTGTCACTTCACTGTTCACACTATGATGTTTCCTCTTTTTTATCTCAGCCTTTAATTTTTTAAAACGCTCATCATTATTTGTTTTCTGTATCACCTCATCCTTCACAGAAGGACTTCTGTTTTTAGTGTTTATTGTCAGCTTTTTTAAGGGTACCAATAGCAGTTGTTTCAGACTTGGTCTCTTTTGATTGATCCATTTGGTTCAGATGTATCTTTAGGTTTCTGCCTTTATTTCAAAGAATTTTTTTTCAAAAACTGGCTTTCTACTAACATGTAACAGTATAGTGAATACAAGTGAACAAGTGATGAATGACAAAGGGACTTAGTAGTGAAACCTGGTGTGGAGGTTCAATCTAAGTTTAAGAAAAAAAGAAAGTACAGTGGGGTCCCAGAGAGCAAAATGGATATCTATGCTGAGACGGGTAGGGATTGTGTTGGTTGTTATTTTTCACAGTAGAATGTTCTAACAGAACCGCTGCAATTATGAGCATCCAATAAACCTCCAAATTTTACTATTCCCAAAGGCTTTTTTCATTTTTTCTCTCTATGGGTAAGTGTATCAGTTTACACAGAAAATAAAAATGTAGTCTTTCCAGGAATGAGGAACAGAGTTGACCTGTTGTGTTAGAGGCAAATCCAAATAGAAATCTAAATGTATGCCACATCAAGGTCTTGTATCTGTTTTTTATTTCTCCAGCTGTGAATGTTTTAGCCCTTGCAGAAATAGTCGGTGCTCTGATGCTGCATTCCTAGTAATAGGTGGTGTCAAATAATTGTTTCTGTGCTCCTTCTACTGCTTGGATACATTTTTTTAAAATTCAATTAATTTTTTATTTAAATTAAAAACAATCTTATTTTACATACCAATTGCAGTTCCCTCTCCCTCTTGTCCTCCAACTTCCCCCCGCATCTCCCCATCCCACACCACATTTTAACCCTACTTGGGCTTTGAAGTTGAGTATTACTTAACATGTGTTAGAATGTAGAACAGTTTGTGGAAATATCCTCCCAAGTATTTTCATTGCTGTGGGTCTTTACATTATTTAATCCTTTCATCTCCTTTTTTTTTAATGGAATGTTAAGAAGGAGAAAAATTAACAACCATCTTGACTCTACCATGTGGTTCTCATTAAGGAGAAAAGTGTTACAAATTTATCCATGGGATAACATAGATTACCTGTTTAGAAGCCAGTAGATGAAGCAGTATCTTCAAGTGCCATACTTAAATGAAATATCACCACAGAAAACGTCTGCAGATTTCTAAAAGTTAAGAAGTATGTGCAGATACCACATCCTCACTGAAACAATGTTAATTGTGCTTACATTAAAAAAAAAGAGAGCGAGAAAGAGAGAGAGTTCGGTCTGAAGTTATAAGATACCAGAATAAGGAATGGATATCAAATTGGATGAAATAGTCACAAATTTATTATTAAATATATAAATAAAAAAGAGGAATTTCTTACTCATTAAAAATAACAGTAAAATCTGTCGCATAAATACAAATAAATGTAGTAGTAAATGTGCAACATATTCATGGACAGAATTAGAAATAATGAAGAAACAAAAATGAAATCGCACCCGCATTTAATCCTAGCACTTATGATGCAGATTTCTGAATTTCGGAGGTAGTCCCAAGACAGCTAGGGCTATTACACAGAGAAACCTTGTCTCAAAAAAAAATCAATAAAATTGTCTTTGAGTGACATTGTAGGAATATTACCAGATGTCTTTGGCTTAATAATAACAATAGTAAAAATGGTGGAGGGAGAGATGGCTCAGTGGTTAAGAGTACTGGCTACTCTTCCAGAACATCCAGGTTCTACTCCTAATACCCACACGACAGCTCCTAACTGTATGAAACTTCAGTCCCAAAAGCTCTGATGACATTTTCTCACCTCCATGTACATCAGGCACATGCTTGGTGCACAGACATATGAGGTGACCTGTGAAGATGGTTCGCTACTCCCTCGACCCAGAAAACCCCACGAAATCATGCAAGTCAAGAGGATCGAATCTTCGGGTTCACTTTAAGAACACCCGTGAAACTGCCCAGGCCATCAAGGGCATGCATATCCGAAAAGCCACCAAATACCTGAAAGATGTCACTTTGAAGAAGCAATGTGTGCCATTCCGGCGGTACAATGGTGGAGTAGGCAGGTGTGCCCAGGCCAAACAGTGGGGCTGGACACAGGGTCGGTGGCCAAAAAAGAGTGCTGAATTTTTGCTGCACATGCTTAAAAATGCAGAGAGTAACGCTGAGCTTAAGGGTCTAGATGTCGATTCTCTGGTCATTGAACACATCCAGGTGAACAAAGCACCCACGCAGACATACGTCCCATACATGTAGACAAAGAACCCATAGATATAAAAATAAATTTAAAAGCAAAAAAATCAATGGTGCCCAATATATCTATAGCATAGGCTCTGTACCTTCAAGAACAGATTAGCTTTAGAGTATCTGAAGGTGATGCCAATGCAGTTCTTGAAAGCAGCAAAGAGAAAACGATCTTTGAAAGCTTTTCCTTTACCTCTTGTATAGATAAACTTGTTAAAAATCAGTGGAGGCCTATTGCGGTTCAGTAAGGTTCAGGATAAACAAATAGGCCGAATAGCTGTTTATTCAGGGAGAAATAACTTACAACCTAGACAGATGAACACCAGCAAATTCCACCTGATGCTCTCCTCTAAGCGACTCGCCAGCAAGAGAGCATTCCCTGGCTCCTCCTCAGACCTAGTTCCACCTGTCACTTCCACCCATGGCTCCACCCCTCAATGGGCGTGGTCAGTGCCACAGAAGGAGACAAAGTAAATATCCCACTACAGAGGCCCAAAAGGCTTTTAGGTAGCTGTGTCAGACTTTGACTAATATATCAGCACATTCTCTGGCCCTCAACAATTATGCCAGCCTTTGTACAAGACTACAAGACAATCAGCCATTCAGCATACACGTAGCAGAAACAATTGGCTGCCATTCGGTCTTACCACAGTTGTACCATTAATCATTATAAAGGCCAAAATGAGATGGCATGAAACTCCTTTGGCCTTCAAATATCTTTCTCTCCTTATGCCACAGTAAGCAGCTTAGGTTGTGTATATCATCATCTATTTTGCTACTTTAGTAGTGTCTTCTAATTTCAATTGTTATATATTAGTAATATGATCTAGTTACATTGCCTCAATTTTTGTTCCTATTTATGAAGATGGGCAGATTTCTACCCATACTATAGCTTCTGGCAACATATAAGTTTGTGGATTGTTAAGCCAGCACAGTGGTTTACACAATGTCCTCAAAAGTTTGTTCCATTTTTGTTCCACTTTAGGTATCTTGGGTCATAGAAAGATAGTGGCTTAAGCCATCTAAATAGGCTAGAGTGTGTCGCTCCATGATGCAGTAGGCATTCTCTGGTATCAGTTTGTAAATGATGTTTGACAAACTTTGAGCAGCAAATTCTTTTACAAGTGTGCCTCCCTTCCCTGGTCAGTTGCCTTCTACATTACTGAATCTACAAAAATATTGTAGTTTCCTGGCTGACCAGGGACTGATCCATCTTAATTATTGACTGTCATCCTGAAGACAGGAAGTGTGACATAAGAAATGATATTTGTGTTGGAAAAAGCTCCTCGTTCATGTGACACTTCCCTAGTCACATCCACTTTCCAAGTGCCTTTCTTTGATTTTTTCCCCCCTTGAGATTATTTTTCATTTGTTCTATTTTAAGTTCATTTTATAATTTGTTATTCAAAACCATTCCTTTTTTTTAAAAAAGTTTAAAGGGATACTAGTATTTGTGTTCTTATTTGGTTATTATGTATGCAAAAGTTCATTGCAATGAGGCATTTAGTGGGTCTTGTGACTTCTTTGATTTCTTATAGTGTCAAAAAGATGTCCCATTCCTGAAAAGAAAAAGTTATGAAATAGAACAAGCAGTCTTTTGTTTGGTGTTACTTCTAACCCTGATTATCTTTACTTCTGATTTCCCTTCACAACTTCCAAAGAGGGTGAATGTATTTAAAATATTTTCACTAGTATCTGTGAGAGTTCTAAATGACTTTAATCTTGGCTCCTTTCTTTAGGTGGAACCCAGAATCACTTCAATCAAGAAATGGAGAAAATTTATATTTACTATAAAATAATACATATGGATTTCCCAAGAATGAGTGTATTGAGAATGTGTCTATTATGTAGAAAAGTAATACAACATGTGTATGTAAAAAGTGATTCAAATAGTTAATGTTTACATATATTTTCTTTGCTAAAATTAAGTTATATTGTTCATACCACCTATATACGACTGCTAAAAGTACATGATGGTATATTTAAGTATTTCAGAGAGAGCTTCCAGGTTCTTACGATTCATAAGGGCCATCTCTTTGCTGTTTGGTATCTTTTTTTTTTTTTATTTTAAATCTGTTTCCATCTAGAATCAAGCCAAGTGACACAAGGTGTGAATGAATTCTAAAAACAGTATAGGGTATATCTAGTTTTTCCTTCAATCTCAACTGACCAATTTTCAATGAACTTGAAAATGTATGTGCATTCCCTTCCTGCACACTGCTTTTCTTTGGCCTACTCCTCTAAAAGGAGTGTATTTCAATAGTATTATTTTATCTAATGAAAAATAAACTTTTGAATGTTACATATAATACTATATGAATCATTTGTAGATTGCTGCGTTGTTGTATGTTATATCTATGTGTGCTTTCAGAGTTTCTCTTACATGTTCATTAGGCTAATGCCTTCCTCTTAAAAAGAAAAAAATTCATGGACGGTTTTCCCTTCCAAGTTCTATTTACTTACCCTGAAGGTTGACATGCAGAACAGGTGTGGAGTGGAGAGATCAGCCATTTTCAAAGGGCATGGCAGCAGCTGGGCAGATTGGGTTTCTTGCACTTTATACCTTGTGATGTTTGTTGATTTTAAACCACTGAGCCACTTTCTCTGACCACATGCTGTGTTTCATTAATTTCCACCTTGGCTAGTTAATTAAGGAATGCACTATTTTCCCAGAAATTTCAAACAGTTTAGTTATTTTCCATGAGATAAAATGACAGGAATATTTTATAATGAGAAACAACTTTTCAGCATGGGAAATGAATGAAATTTTTAAGGGAAATGCAAAGAAATGCCATTTTCCTTTATCCATATCCTAAATCCAACATGTTACTCTATATTGCTTAACACTCTCTTTGCCTTTTTGACATTATCTTCAGAAAAATACTGATCATCCCAGCTACAATTTAAGAAAGTTTAGGAAGTTTTAATTGTATACCAGGAGACAAAAGGAAGAGTCACCATTGTGACAAGTACTGACTGAGCATCCCTACAAACTAGACCATGTAGGGTGACTGGAAGAGAGATAAAGTCTTTGTTTATTTCCCAAGCTTATCGTCAGTTCATTTGGGATAGCCAAATGGCAAGTGCAAGTAATGGGAAGGGTAACATAGAAATGAAGAAAAAAAGAGCTTATAAATTAAGAAAGGAGATATGACAGAAAGGATGGGAATAGATGTGTGCATAGAAATTATGCAGCAGTAAACAGGAGGAGGAGTGTAGTATAGCCATGAAGTCAAGGAAGAGTTCCACATATTTAGTGCAAAGCATACAGTTTGCAATGGGACTTCAGGGAGTAGACAATGAGGAAGGCTGAATTATGAAAGTAGTGAGATACAGACTCCACCAATTTCAACTAAGAGAAGTAATTTAATTAGAATCACAAGCTATTGTAAAATCAGGTTTTGGAAGCACCACAGCCAAATCAAAATGATTCCGTAATCTTTTACACTTGTTGGCCTCTGACTTTATTTCCTAGCAATTTATAAGAATTGAGTATACTAGAAAGAGACTTGGAGAAACTTTTATTACAGTTTGCACAATGTATTGTCCATTTTTGAAAAACCAATGTCCTATATATGCATTTGAAAATATTGAAATGATATAAAATGAAAATCTTGTACTTTTTAAATAGTTTCTTTAATAAGGTTTCAGCAAACCACAATAAAACAATTTATTGTAAAATGCATGCATATTCAAGGCTAGGTTGGAAGCTTCATTAAAATTTTATTTATAATTTTGAAAGTTTGGGTTATGTGATAGAAATATTATGTTCTTCACTAAATATATTTTAAATGATGAAAATTAAATTATGTTGACAAGATTTTTATTATAAAATTTCCAAAAAATATACAAAAGCAACCATGGTTAATTAGATAAATAACAGTAGCTTTTAGAGCTGCTCTCTTCAAGGATACGCTACCAAGAAATTAATTGGCAAGCATGACCTGGCATTTCATATCTTATAGAGTGAAATTGATCTTCTTCAGTTCCACAGGAACTGGTTACAACAGCATAACAGCAAAAGGAGATCCTTATTGTAACTTCCTGTAAGGATTTTGTAAGAATAACAAAAACCCACAGATAGATAATGGGGTTAAAGCTGAAGATCAGAGAAGAAAAGTGGCCAGCCACTACAGAGTTCTCACCTCTACCAATGCTCAGACCAAAGCTGAGATCCACCAAACCTCACACTGCTCCAACTGCATTGCTTCTCCCCAAACCTCAGACTGCCTAGATTGCAATATATTCTTGTTTCCCCCTGCCTTATATTCCTCTCTCCACTCAAGCACTTCAGTCCTGTCTCTACTTCCTTAGTGCTGAAATTAAAGGCATGAGCTCTGTTTCTCTTTTAGACTGCTTCATTCTCATGTAGCCCAAGCTGGCCTTGAACTCATAGACATCTATCTTCCTCTATCTCCTAGTTCCTGGGATTAAAGGTGTGTTGTGCCTGGAAGGCTGTGGCTACATTTGCACTCTGATCTTCTGGCATGCTTTATTCAATCATAGACAAAATATCAACACAAAGTCCACTTTCCAGAAGCAATCAATGGACGTGTAAAAGAAAAGCCTTTATCATAAAGGAGATCAATAGACAGATCACTGATAATTTTACTAGGTGTATTTTATTTGCTTAGTTGTTTTTCATTTAATTCATATAAAAAAAAGGATCTTGATAAAGAAAAATGTCTTTAAAGTGAAATAACATTCATAACTGTAAAGGAAAAGATTGGTCTAGTCATTTAAAATTTTCCCACTTAATCATGATACTGGTGTAAGATGAGGTATAAGAATGTCCTGTTTTGACAAAACAATGGCAAATATTTGAATACAGATAGTTCATGAAAACTTTGCAACTGAGATAGTAGAGTTTCTCAGGAAAATTTTGTTCTATTAACCTAACATTCCTCAGTATTGAAGGGTGGATATCATCCACTGATTCATGTCATCCTTGTTGAGAATTCTATTGTGATATGAATAGCTTAGAGAAGTCAGATTTCTTAAAAGAGAATTGC